AGGCAGTGGTAGGGCATTTGGTAGAGGCAGTGGTAGGGCGGGTGGTAGAGGCGGGGTGGGAGGCAGTGGTAGAGGCAGTGGTAGGGGGCAGTGGTAGAGGCGTGGTAGAGGCAGTGGTAGGGCAGTGGAAAGAGGAGGGGTTAGGGGGCAGTGGAAAGGGGGCAGGGGTGGGGCCCATTTGGGTGAGGAGTGGGTGGGGCCGTGGGTAGGCAGGGGTGGGCAGTGGTAGGGGGCCATTTGGTTTGGGGCAGTGGTAGGGGGAAAGGGGGTAGAGGCAGGGGTTGAGGAAAGGGGTAGAGGGCAGTGGTAGAGGCAGTGATATTTACTAACATTATTTTTAAAAATAAAATAGTTAATTATGAATAACATTTTTTTATTATTTTTAAATTTTTTTATTATTATTATTATTTTTAAAAATGTTTTAATTTTAAAACATGTCCTTTATTATTCTTTAACATATATGTTAGTAAATACCACGGGGCCTCACACACTGCCTTCCCCTTGCCTTACCCTGCCTAAACCCAAACTCCAGTCAAAACTCAATCCAAAAACACCAATACAATAAATTTTAATTTTTGAAATTTTTGGGAAAAAAACACGGGACTAATATCACCCCAGTTAAACAAAGCCCACAACGGCGAGGCACCAACCACTTCCTCCACACTGTTTTAAACCCCTCGTTTTTTGTACAATTTTTTTCTTCAATTCTATCGTTTTTTTATTTCTTTATTATTATTTTTTATTATTATTGAAGGTAGTGGTTGGTAGACAGCAACCCCCCGGGGAAAGAAATTTTACCGTCCTGCCAGATAGTGTGTTGAAAAAAAAAACCTGAACTTTTTTCCCCTTGATGGTGGGGATTGTTTGGGTCTCTTTTTCTGTTCTTTTAAACACGTAGAAAACCCAAGGGAAATATCTTGTACTCCACTTACATTTTGGGGTTCACATTTAAAAAGACACCCAAAAGATTATTATAAAATACATTTCTAGGTTTTTCTCCTTTTTCTAAAACCCTTTTTGTTCCCTTTTTTGTCTTTTATTGTCCGGGGAAGGGGGAAAAAAAACCCTTTCTCCGAAAGCCTTGCGTGTCTTGGGGGAAACAAAAAATGCCGGGAGAAAAGGGGCTAGAAACCCCTTTTGTAGATTTTTAAATAAAAAAGAAAAAGAAAAAATTTTTTAAAATGGGATGTTTTAATTTGTGGTGGATGTAGTGCGGAGGGCCCAAGAAAACAGATGATTTGGGGATTTTAGGGAATGAAAAAAATTTTGGGGATGTCCGGGCCCCTAAGCAAAACAAAGCTGAAGGGGGTAGGGGGGGGTTTCGGAGGGGGGAAATAAAGGGGGATTAAATTGGGGGGTATCTGAGAGATTTTTGAGAAAAGGAAGGGGGGGGTAGCAGTAATGTTGAATGATCAGTTAGGGAAAAGGAAAAAGGGAAAAGAGAAATGAATGTTTTAAATTCAAGAATTATGTGGATTAAAGAAAAGGGTTGGATGCGGAAAGGGGGTTTTATTAATAAGGTTGTTTTGAACCTGGAAAAGGGGAATGCGAGGAGAGAGAGAAAATTTTGGGAGATGTTAAGTAAATTGTAAAAGGAGACCCTTTGAACCAAGTGAGAGATTAATTGTGGTAGGGGCCCTAAATTGTTTAAGAAGGAGAAAACTTTTAGAGAGGGGGGGGTTTAGGTAAGTTTGGGGGGGCCAGGGTAAATGAAAATGGGGGGCCCTTTGATTGACTTTGTTTTAAAAAGGGGGTTTAGTTAAAAGGTAATACATTTTTTTAAAGGGAAAAAGAGGTAAAAAAGGGAATAAAAGGATAGGATGTAGGGCGAAATGCCCAGTATTTTGTTGGATTATTTTTTGGGTAGATAAAAAAAGTTGAGTAGATTTTTTTCGGGGGATGTACATGTTTATAGGGGGCCACGATATATCAGTTTCACTTTCTTTTGCAGCTACCTGAGATTTAAAAGGTGATGGGATTAAAGGAAAATAAAAGCATCGGGGGAAGGGGAGAGGGAAGGTTTAAAAAACTAAAAGAGGGGAAAGTTGGGTAAGATTTTAAACAGCTTTTTTGGAGGATAGATGGGCTTTTGGGGAGCATGGGCAATGGGGTCAAAGAGGTAGGGTTTGTATTTTAAAAATGTAGTGTTAGGGGTTTTCCCGCGGGAAGTTTGGGGTTTTCCCGGAAAGTGGGTGCGGGGGGAAAGAGGAGCGATTGGGGGGAATGATGAGGTGAAAAAGGTTTTAGTAAGGGAGAAAAATTTTGCTTATGGAATTTTTTTTAAAAAGTAGAAGTGATGAAAGGGGGAAAAGGTATATGGAAAAAAAGGAGAGGGGTTTTAAGAGAGTGGGGGAAGCATGTAAAAAGAAGAAAATGGAGGGGGTGAGATTTTATCAAAAAAATTTTTGGGTTAAAAAAAGGAAAAAGTTTTGGGGGTGAGATTAACAAGTTAAAAAAAAGCCTAGAAAAACAAATGGATTTGTCAGTTAAAAATGGGGAAGAGGAGAGTTTTTAAAAAGGGGAAGGTTAGAGGTTTTTGGGGAAGATGGAGGGAATTTTTTGGGGAATTTTTAAAAAATGTTAAATGAAGATAGGGAAGCTGGGGATTTCTTGTTTAGGGCAAGGAGGAACATCATCTTTTTGGAGTGAGGAAGACCCATTTTGTGAGTGGGGGGGAAGTTCGTGAGGCGGGTGGGTTTTAAAATGAAAGGGGGTAAGGCAGGGGGGTTTGGATGGGTTTAAAGTTGAAATGTTAAAAGCAGGGGGGAATATATTTTTGGGAAGTGGTTGGTAAATTTTTTAAATATATGTAGGGAAAGGGAGGGTAAAGTCCCTTGGGATTGGAAAGGAGCTTTGCTTTAGTTCCCCTTTGTAAAAGGGAAAAAAGGGGGGGGGCCCAAAAGGGAGGAGTGCAAAAATTATAGGGGGAAAAAGTCTGTTGGTAAACCGGGCAAAGTGTATGGTAGGTTTTTAATTGAAAAAATTTAAAGGGAGAAAGAGGGAGAATAGGATAGCAGATGAAAAAGGAAAGGCTTTGGGAAAGGGGTAGGGGGTTGTGGCGAGGTGTTTACAGTGAAAACTTATTAGTGAACAGTATTTAGAAAGGCTAAAAGGGTTTTGTGGCTTTTATGGATTTGGAAAAGGCTTTATGACGGGGGTGGATAGGGGGGGCAATGTGGCAGTTGTTGCATTTGTATGGTGTAGGAGGGGGTTATGAAAGCAGGGGAAGGGTTTTTTTTTCGGGGGGATGTGAGGCTTCAATTTTGATTTGTGGGAAAAGAGGGAAATTTTTTTCCCGTAAAAGTGGGCCCAAGACAAGGAGTGTGATGTCCCAGGGTTTTTTAATATATTTTTTAATGGGGTTGTAAGAGAATTTAAATGCGAGGGTTTTGGGAAAAAGAGGGCGTGGAGTTAAAAGATAAAGAATCACCAAAGTGGGAGTTGTCACAGTTGCTTTTGGGGGATGGACACTGTGCTTTTGGGGGAGTTTTTAAAGAGAATTTTGCGGATTGGGGATAAATTTTGGGAGAGTTTTGAAAAAAGAAAAAAATTTGGGAAAGTGTTTACAGGAAGAGAAAAGGTTTAAAGAGGATAACAAAAAGATTAGGGGGATGAAGTTTTGGATATAAATTTTGGGAGGGAGAGAGATTTGGAGGGGTGAATGTATTCAATTTTGGGGGAAGGGGTTTTCCGGGGGATGGGTCTATGAAAGATGAGGTGAATATAAAAATTGATGGGGGGGAAAAAGGGTGAGTGGTGCTCTTAGGGTCTGGGGAGCAAAAAAAACTTTGTCCTTGGAGGAAAAGGGGAAAAAATGTATGAGAGTTTAAAGTTTTCCAACGTTTTTAAAAGGGGGTGTAAAGCATGGGGATGAATGTTGCAGCGGGGGAAAAGGGGTGGAGGCAGTGGAGTGTCATGTCTGAGAGAAAATTTTGTGGTGTAAAATATAATGCAGGGGAATTCGTATTTTGGGAAGTTAGGGGAAAGGGGGCGGGATTCCCAAAAAACTGTTGCCCAGGGGGGGCTGAGGGGGGTTTTTGGGAGGTGGTTCGGACATGTGGAGAGAATGGAGGAAACAAAATTTAACTTCAAGAGGTATCAGTCTGTAGTGGAAGGAAGGCAGGGTGGGGGGGTTGGGCCCTGGGAAAGGGGGTTGGGGGGGGGGGTTTAAAGGAGGTTTTGTGTGCGAGGGGCTTGGACTTCCAGCAGGCATGCTTTGAGCTTTTGTTTGATAGGAGTGAATGGAGACAAATGGTTTTTAATACTTGACGTCCCTTTTGGGAAAGTGTGACCCAAAATTTAACTTTTTATAAAGGGGGGGTTTCGGGGGGAAAACCGGGGGCCCGGGAAATTGGTCCTGGGGGATGGGAAGTACAGTGCCTGCACTCTAAAAGGGGGGGTGTTAATTTGCATTTTAAAAAACCTGTAGTGAAAAGACCCTTCTGGCAAGACAGTGTGGGGGAAATGATGGTGATTTGTTTCTTTTTCGGGCCCCCCCTGCCTTGGTGGGAATGGGGCCGGGTTTTGTTTAAAAAAAAAAAAATTTTATTTTTTATTTTTGTTATTATTATTAGCATTTTGCAAAAAATGTTTGTTTTTCTTTGCTGTGTTCAAGAGTAAACACATTTTCACCTTCAAAAATTACCTGTCGAATACCCTAGAAGGTAATGACCCAAAATTTTTAAAAAAAAGATTAGAAAACTTAAATGCGGGTAGTTTCCCTTTAAAAGCTCTTGTAGAAAAAAAATGCAACTTATGGTCAAATCTTCAAAGTTGTTTTTTTAAAGAAATCCCCCAAAACTGAGAATTTATGGTCAAAATACCGCTTGTGGGTTTGTTTATCATATGTGTGGGGCTTTGACGAAGCATCTTGATAGATGGGGTGGTTGATAACACAGTTGCATCGGGAAACCCAAATAATCCCCAAAGGTAGCTTGCGGGCAGTTCGCTCTTTCCAAGTTACTTTCTTCAGCTTTTAGCCATGCGCAGGAGGGGGGGACTGATTCCTGCCAAACGCCGTGAATTCCCTTTTTTGGGCCCAAAGGCCAAAAGACAAAGATCCCTTTCAGTTGGGGGAAATGATTTCCTCTCGCTTAGGGTTCCCTTTCGTTAAAAGTAAAAAAAAAAATTTTTATGAGGAAGTGCCCAAACCCAAGGGAGGGTATAGCTCCTTAGGACTTGGAGACAATCAGGATTAATAAAAAAGAAAAGGGGAGGATAGCACAATTTCCCTTTTATCAAGACCCCTTTTTCCCGGCATCAAGGAAACCCCTTGAGGGGAAAGAGGAAAAAAATGGTTTTGCCCAAAAATAGGTTTTTGTTAGGGGGTGTACTGGATCAGTAAGCATTTTTTTTTTTTATTAACACAATGGTGTTTCCCCCCCAAGGCAGGGGACCCAAAAAAAAATTTGAAAAATTTTCCCTCATTCACTAAAACACTTGTTTCCCAGAGGGTGCCTCCCCCTCAGTTAAAAAAAAAAAATGCAAATATCAATGCCCCCCTCGAGCCCCAAAAAACATTGTACTTTCCCCCCTCCCGGAACCCAAAATCTGGCTAAACCCGGGGGCTGGGGGGAAACCCCTTTATAAATATTCTTTGCTCCACTCCCAAACGCAAAATCAAGTCCCAAAAAACCCCTTGCCTCCACCGCTCCCATCCAAAACTCTCGCACACTTGTGGGAAATCCCCGGGAAAACAAACCTCCTTTAATCACTCTGTCCCTCCCTCCAACTTTCCCAGGCCAACCCCTACCCCCCCTTCCTTTCACAAAAAAAATATACCCCACAAAAAAAACAGGCCCCAAAAAAAATCGAATTTACATCACAAAAAATACACAAAAAGCTCACAACAAAATACACAATATTCTTTACAAAACCCCTGTATGATATAAAATCAAAAACCCCCACTATACAATATTCGTCACAACACAACACTACATGATATACTTCCCCAAACAACACAATATTTCATCACAACACAACACAATATAATCACAAACCAAAAACAATATACATCACAACACCAAAAACAATTTACACACAACCCAAAAAACTACACAAAAATACATCCAAAAACCCCTACACAATACACATCACAACCCTACACAAAATTTTTTTCCCCAAAAACCCAAAAATTTACAATAATGATTCATACAACAACATTTTTCTTTTCAAATAATATATCTTTTCATTTTATGGGGCGGGACCTATTGAAGTTTCTTTTTTTAAAATTTAAAAAAAAAAAATAAGAAGAAATAAAAAAAGGGTATCATGCAGCAGGCCTGTTGGCCCCTTTTAGGCAGGGGCCTTTTCAAACCTTTCCCCCTAACAAAAAATTTGCCCCAACCCCAAATTTTTAAAGCTCCCCCAAAAAATAAGGGCTAATAACTTAAACCACTCATTTTTCAAGTCCCACTCAAATCCAACCCCCCTCACTCATATATTTTTTCCCAAACCAAAAATTTTTAAAATACCCAAAGTCTTTTCCTCAAAAACCCAACTAGGCAGGGCTTTCCACTCATCAAAATACCCCATTTAAAACCAATACTTTTCCCATGTCCTTTCTAAATCAAAAATTGTCTAATTTTTAAAACCCTTAAATACAAAAGAAGGGGGGAAACTCAGCATGGATTCTGAGGGTTGCCCCCGCCTGACAAAACCCTTTCTGGCGTTTTCAAAGAACAAAATTTTTGGGGAGTTGACAGTGATAAGGAAAATTTAAAATTGCTTATTTGGGTTTTTTTTTAAAGGGCCCTTTGAATTTGAGTACTCACAAAAGGGTTTTGGAGGCCCAAAAATTTAGCAGGAAAGACATAAGAAAAAGGAAAGGGAAAAATGCAGCAGGCCCCGTTGGCCCTTTTTGGCAGGTCCATTAAAAAACCACCAAAAAACAAAAACATTTGCCCCAAACCCCAAATTTTCCCAAAGCCACCAAGGAAAATTTAAACTCTGAAAACTCTATCAACTCTCAAATGAACTCCCCTCAAATCCAACCCCTCTCATCATGTTTTATTCCCAAACCCATATTTGAAATTTCCCCAAAGGGTTTTTGCCCCAAAAAACCCAAATAGGTTGGGCTGTTCTATCATCAAAAAAAACCCATTTCCATAAACCCAAAAACTTTCCCCCACAAACCCTTTTAAATTTTAAAAATTATCCAATTTTTAAAACCATTTTCTGCGGGTTCTCTCCTGGGGAGAGAGTTTTCAAGACCCTTTCTAATATCCCCTTTTTTTAAAACCAATCTTCCCCTTTTAACTTCGTCATGTCTCCCCTCTTTTTTCGTCTTAAAAAGTGAATTTTAATTAAGGGTCTTCAATCTTTTTTTTCATTTAAAGGGAAAATTTTTAAAGCTATGTATTAATTTTTGTCATTCTTCGCTTTAAGGGTTTTCTAACGAAATTTTTGGGCCATTCTGTAAAATGGAGACCGAACTGAGGGTGCAAAACTAGGCGAGGCCTTTTTAAAAATGTATAAAACTTTTGATTAAACCCCTGGCTTCGTTGTTCCTTTTTGATATATATCCCCGCAATCTATTTTTCCTTATTACGCCCGTTAGGCCCCTGCTGTCTTTGGGTTTTAAAGGGTTTCTGCTTCCATTTAAACCCCCAAAACCTTCTCGCATTCTATTTGGCTAAGTTCAACTTATTAAGTGGTTGGTGCTAGGGTTTTGGGCATTTTTTGAGCTTTAGAAATTTACCTTTATTTTACACTGAATGCATCTGCCACTTTTTTAGGCCCCGAAAATTTAGTTTTTTTAAATCCTCCTGAAAATTGTGAGGGCTTAACCCTCTGAATCGATTAAACCTACCTATCTACGTTGTCATCAGCAAATTTGCTTTTTGTCAATATTTAAATTTCCCCCGTCAAGGTCGTTTATATAAAAAAAACAACAATGGGCCTAAAACTGATCCCTGCGAAAATGCCCCTTGTTTTCGTCCCCCCTCAGATTTAACCCCATTTATGCACACTCTCTGCTTCCTATTGTGGGGGCCCTGACTCAAACCCTGACAGCCTTTTTTCCCCCCCAAAGCATGGAAACCACTTTCTTAAAAAGCCTCTGTTTTTGTACTTATTCCCAAAAACCTTACTAAAATCCAAATAAAAAATTGAATTTTTTCTGATCAAAGGCCTCAAAAGGGTTTGCTGAAGAAGGTTAATAAATTAGTTGGGGAATGGGCCCCGGGGGAAAACCTGTTGAGTATCTTTTTTTTAAATTTTTGCCTATCGAGATGGCCCTTTTTATAAATTTTTGCTATAATTGACTCTAGTAATTTGGGCCCACAATTTAGGTTAGGTTTTTTTGGGCGGGTAAATTTTTTTTTTTTTTAAAGATTTTTCCCCCCGGGTTTAAAAAAAAGGGAAATTTCATTTTGCCATCTTCCCCAAAATTGGAAATATAACCCGTTTTAAGAGATAAATTAAAAATATTTTGAAAGGTTCACGAGTTCCCCTTTTCACTTTTAAAAATCCTTGAAAAAAGTTCACAGGGGGCCCGGGGGTTTATTTTGCTTTAACCCGTCTATCGTTTGAAAACCCTTTCACTGTGATTGTGATATGGTTTTAAATTTTTTATCTTCAAGCCCACTAAAAATTAATTACTGGGATATTGTCAGTGTCTTTCCCAGTGAAAAAACCCAGAGAAAATAAATTTTTTAAGGGGAAAAGGGGCACTTTCATTTTTCCTTTTCAGTGAGTTTCCCCGAGTTTTTTTTAAAAGGGGGCCTATCTTATCACTTAAATTTTGCTCTTTAAACCCGGAAAAAAAAAATTTTTGGGGAAATTTTCGAAACACTTTGCAAATTTTAATTTCATAGTCCCGAGCCTGGTCACAGACCCGGGGGCAAGGGCTTGACCCCCCAAAAAAACCCCTTTCCCGGTTTCTCCCTTTAACGGTTTGGGGGGTTTAGAGAAATGTGTGAAACCATGAAGGGTTTGGGGCCCCCAAAAAAATGTTTTGATCCATGAATGGTGGGGTCAATGAAAAGTGTGATCCCTGAATGGTGGGGTCAAAGAAATGTGTGATCCTGAATGGGGGGGTCCCAAAGGGTTTGGGGAAACCAATTCCTTTTTTGTATAACTCACTGCGATTGGGGATCAATAGGGAAATGAAATTAGTTTTATTACTATTTTTTAACTTTTTCAGCTATCAAAACCTTTCGACACAGTCCCCGCATCCATTATGTACTTTGTAATCTTTTTTACTGAACTGCGAGTTGGGTATGGGGTACTAACAAAAATATTGAACTAATAAAACTTGAGGGAAAAATTTGGGGTTAGTGAAGGGTGGTTGAAGAATGGGGGAGGTTTGACTCCCCTCTGATATCCTCAAATACACTCAAGATCTAAAACCCTCAACGGGGTGAGTTTATTAGTTTTCCGGAAAAAGACGGTGTCAAAAAAAAGGTGGGTTTACGGGAATGGTGGTTGCAGGCAAACAGTGGGGCACAGGGAAAGGTGATCGGGAGGGAATGGGGATCGCAGGAAATGTGGCCGCAGGGTTTTGGTTTGGGCTCAAGGAACTGTGGTCTAAAAGGGAAACCCGTGATCGCAGGGGAAAAGGTTTGGGAAATTGATCCTAGGTTTGTAACTCACCAATTTAAATCACCTTCTTGTCTTGAAGGATGAATCTGCGTTTTTCCTTCAAATACTTTTTTCATTTTTTTTCTTTTTTTTTAAAAAATTGGGGTTTTTGTGTCTTGTTACTTTATTTACCAGGTCTATGGATGTGCTATGTAATTTTGTCCTTTCTTTCGATCATTAAATTTTTTTTCGTTATGTCCCTTATGGGGAAAAACGGTCTTAAAAGGAAAAACTTTTAGTGTTCCTTAGCTGTTTTTATGCCCCCAAAGGGAAACTTTTCCCAAAAATTTTTCAAAATAAATTTTGAGGGGGGTTTTCCCGGTGCAATATGACAAACCCCGATGCCAAAGGTTCATTTAAATTTTTTCATAAATTTGTTTGGGGAAAATCCACCAGTTTTTATCAATTTAGGAGAAACTTTTGGCTTCCTTTTCCCGGGTTCTTCCAATAAATGTCCCCCGTGAACTCCTTGAAGGGCGCGGTGGTTGTGGAAAAAACCCTCTTTTTGTTTTAAGAAAAGC